AGAAGGAGATTGAGAACTCAAGTGTTTCTGTTTTATCGTGTTTGGTTTTTGCCTAATTTAATATCCTTAAGGAAAGGGAACAAATAATTAAAACTTTGTAAGGCTTAATGAGTATCTTCCTAACAAGCCTGGTATGCAACCAAGTGCCAAGGAGGCACCCCACAAATGCTCCAGGCATAATGTAGCTCAGCACTGAGCGACTGAATATCAGTGAAGCAGGATATATATCATAGTTGACGGGGACCTGACCACTCTGTCACTCCGCTTTTAAAACAGATTATGCACTCACTTTCAGAGATGCTAAAATAAACTATAAAAACCAAGATGAATCAATACTTTGTAAGACGATGAAAGGCTCATTAAAATTTGTGAGTAGTGCTATGTAGAATGAATCTTAAAAGAGGAAGACCAGCCATAATCTTCTAGTCTTTGCCTTCTCCACTTTCTCACCTCCCATCCATTCTTAACTACTAACACTCTTTATCGAGGTCACCAGTAATCTCCTAATCTCCAGGTCCATTAGCCACTCCACAATGGTAGTTTACTTGACTTCTTTACTTATTTCCACCTCTCCTTTAACAATAAAAGCCACAGTACTTCAGGTGCTTGTGCCAAACATTATGCTAGAGTCACGATTCTCAACTGGGAGGACAATTTTGCCACCCAAAGGACATTTGACAATGTCTGGAGGCATTTTTGGTTATCACAATCTGGGTGAAGGGAAGTGCTACTGGTACTAGTGAGTACATGTCCAGGATGCTACTAAAGATCCTAAAATGCACAGGACAACACCCTCCCCTAAACAAAGAATTATCCACCTCAGGTTGTCAGTAGTGCCAAGACTTTACATATATAATTTTATTGATCTTCACAGTAACTCCATGGTGTGGGTATGATATCCTCATTTTGCTGATGAGGAAACCAGACTATAAATATGAATTACTTACAGTGATTATTAAGTTAACACATTCTCCAGGCTCTCCTGAAACCAGTTTGCTATCTGGTAATATATTTATCAGAGAGAGAAGGAAATGAAGAAGCCCAGCCCATCTATGTGTTATATAAGCAATGCTGGTAAAGAAGAAGGAGAAGGAGAAGCAGCAGCAGTAAGAAGAGGAGGAAGAGGAAGAGAAGGGGAGGAGGAAGGGAGGGAGGGAGGAAGGAAGGAAGGAAGGAAGGAAGGAAGATAGATAGATAGATAGATAGATAGATAGATAGATAGATAGATAGATCAATCGATCTAAGGAGGGAGAAAGTTGATACAATTAGCTGAGAGGCAGGGAGTAATCCAGCATCTCACTCATATTCTGTTTCTATCCCTCACACCTACAACTCACCAGGAACTGCTTGGACAACCAAGGCTCACACCCACCTTCTACTCTAAAGAATCTAAAGCCAGATATGGTACAATGCAAAAATAATAATAAATCAGAAATCCATGCAGCTGTGATTCCAACATCGGGCTCAGAATTGATTTTCAGAGTTGAGGGTTTCCTTTTCATTGACACTCAGCTGTACTTCTTTTAGTAGCTACCAAACCTCAGCAGAGTAAGAAGTCCAAGATCATAACAAATATCTCAAGGTTTTGTGGTTTCATCTTATCTATCAGGCAAGATGAGGCTAAGACATCATGAGTCAGCTACAGACCCCATGAAAGACTGATTTCTGGCCACTACTTTCCAAAGTGGTCCAGTAACAGAAGGAATGGTGTTCTGTGTCCAAACCAGCCTCAAAGGTGAAAATATCCTTGAACAATCAAAGAGCACTGTATTTATCAAAAAGCTCTTGGCAGCAGCATTAATATCTACAGGGTAGCAGCTGCCCTTTCCAAATAATGAGAAAATTATAATTCTTATCAAAAACTATTATATTTTAAATATATTGAGTACAAATAGCGTGCCAAGAACAATTTTTTAAAAAACAATTCTCTGGATTCATTATAAGTTGGCCCCTTACAATCATTTGTTCATTTTAATACTTTCACATTCCAGGAAGAAACACTTCAAAATGAGGCATAAAATGACAGACATGATTAGGCCAATCCCCTGATCGAAGGAGAGCTCCAGATACAGGATTGACAGCAAGTCCTGGCCACCAAGCCAGCCTCTATCTCTGCCAGGGCCTGGAGCAAATGTTTCTGTATATTCCATGTCTAAGCATTTTAGTTATAACCAACAAACCAGTGAATAAAATGTTTAATCCTCCTGCCTTGACAAATATACCTTCATAACCATCTGGAAGGCTAAGGTTGAATTTAGGATTCCTGGGCCCTTAAAAGTTCAATGCAAAATGTGAGAGGTTATTAGAAGCTGCCTACCATCCCAACTCCTGCCCCAGGAACACCATCCTCTTTTCTTCCTACCTCAGGCTACATCCAAGCTACTCATCTGAGCCCCCACAAAGAGCTACTGCTTGAGCCCAGGGGCCCCGAATATACATGACACAGTCTACCCTCAGGGTGACAGATCTAGAATAGGGCCTGTGCCTTGGAAACAGGGTCCATGCATTTGGAGGCAGAGAATTCTGTGACTTTGGTGCCCAGAATGTAGTCTAGAATGGCAGTGTGGACTCTTGGTGGACCTGCTCCTTGGCACTGTTGGGGGGCAGGGGGAGGCATGACCTCATCCTATGGAGAGGATATGACAGAGAGGTCCAGAATGGGACCCTTTAAAGTAAAGATTGCAAGGCAGGAGTTCCCCTTCCAACATACAAGGCTTTAATGCACTGCTACCATTGTCACACAGGCATTTCCATATTTTTCTACAGGAGATGGTGATTTTTGTCTCCTTCCCTTCCCACTCCCATCTCTATCCCAGACATGCATAAACCTGATTCGAAGAGCCCAGAGTCTCTTCTTCAGGGCTGCCCCCAACAGGCTGGTGTCATGGGGACAGCTAATGAGCTCTGAGCCTTTCCCACCCTAAGTCCAAAGTCCCCACGGTTTGAGGATTAGTTCATCCCAGTGGGATCACAACACAATTGTTATAGCTTTCAGATGCCAAAGGAGAGTGTTGGAAGAATCAAAAGGCCTGCGTGCTAGTTCTGCCACTAATAAGCTTTACAACCTAAGACGTGTTACTCATCTCTCTGGGTCTCATTTTCCCTGTTTGAAAAGTGAGGGCTTTGGACTCTGTCAGATGTTGAAAACTGATGCTCATGGGTCATTGGCCCATGGATGTGGGATTCTGTGGGTGAAGGGAGGAGGGACTTCATGGGGCTTAAATACTTTTTTAATTGGTAACCAATCTTTTATAATTAGGAGGTTTCAAATAAAATTTCACACATGGATTTTCCCTCAATATAAAAACTACAATACTGACTCTGTACCCCATTACTTTTGAGTTTTTCTCCCACCATGCCCTGTGTAAGATACAAGAGAGAGAATGGGAAACTAAAGGAAGAGACAGAGGGAGGGGGGGAAAAAGCAAACAGGGGCAACAGAGGAGGAGAGAGAGGAAACAAGGAAAGGGGGATGGGAAGCTAGGACAGATAGACCAGTAAGAGAAAAAGAGCTCATACTTATATAGCTTGCTAGGTATCACGGCTTTCAATGTCTTACATACTTAATAGCTCACTTACTAGTCACAAAAACTCTATGGGATTTCCTCCACTTTACAGAGGAGGAAAATGAAGCTCAGAGACGTACAGTAACATGCCCAGGGCCCAGGAAGTGGCAGAGCTGGGATTCTAATCCGGCCACAGTTCTTCGCCTCACTCAGAGTCCAAGCATAGCTCTTTCAATGGCTCTTCACAACCTCTCAACCTCATCCCCTTCTGCTCTGTACCTGCTTCGCTTGGCTCCAGACACTTCTGCCTCACTCAGAATTTCCACACATCAGTCCATCCTGCCTTTGTACCTGCTATCACTTCTGCTTGAACCACTCTTTTTGCAGGTACCTGCATGGCTGACTTCCTCATGTCCTCCAGGTCTTGACTCACTTGTCACCTTCTCCATGAGGGCTTCCTGATTACTTTGATTAAAAATTGCCCTCAGACACACTCCTACACTGTTGGTGGGAATGTAAACTGGTACAGCCCCTCTGGAAAACAGTGTGGAGGTTCCTCAGGAAACTAACAATAGAACTCCCCTATGACCCAGCAATAGCACTGCTAGGAATTTACCCAAGGGATACAGAAATGCTGAGGCACAGGAGCACATGTACCCCAATGTTCATAGCAGCACTCTCCACAATAGCTAAAACATGGAAAGAGCCTAAGTGTCCATCAACGGATGAATGGATCAAGAAGATGTGGTTTATCTATACCATGGAATACTACATGGCAATGAGAAACAATGAAATCTGGCCATATGTAGCAACATGGATGGACCTTGAGGGTGTTATGCTGAGCGAAATAAGTCAGGCAGAGAAGGACAAATATCATATGTTTGCACCTATAGGAGGATTAGGAGGAACTTGACGGAGGAACAAGGGGGAGAAGAAGGGGGGAAATGGTGGGGGAAAGGGAGAGAGGCAAACCATGAGAGACTCTTGAATGCTGACAAAAACTGAGGACTGATGGATGTGGGGGGGGGGGGGGATGGGCATGGAGGAGGACACTTGTGGGGATGAGCACTGAGTGTTATGTGGAAACTAATTTGACAATAAACTATTTGTAAAAAAAAAAAAAAAAATTGCCCTCAGAAACCCTACACACACACCACACACACACACACACACACACACACACACAAATCCTCTCCCTCTCCTTACCTCTTTCTCTGATTTACCGTTCTTCAAGATGCATATCACTATCAAACATACTACATCCTTTATCTTATTTCTTACTGTATTTTCCTCCAGAATGGGGACTAGAATGAGGGCAAGAATGTGTACCCCTTTTCTTCATTACTGTATTTCCAGTGCTTAAAACAATACCAGGCATATAGAAAGTGCTCAATAATTATTTGTTAAAGTAATAAATAAAAAAGCTCCAAAGAAACCAACTTTACTGACATTGGTAAATTTCCTGTCTCTTCCCAGGAAACCCATTGAGGTCACTTTCTCTGTCTGGGCTATGGCACCTCTGAGCCAGCTGAGTGGCCACATCAACTCCACCTGTGGGGCAGAGAACTCCACAGGAGCCGGCCGAGCCCGCCCACATGCCTACTACGCCCTCTCCTACTGCGCACTCATCCTGGCCATCGTCTTCGGCAATGGTCTGGTGTGTGTGGCAGTGCTGAGGGAACGGGCTTTGCAGACCACCACCAACTACCTGGTGGTGAGCCTGGCCGTGGCGGACCTGCTGGTGGCCACCTTGGTGATGCCCTGGGTGGTGTACCTGGAGGTAAGTGAGCCCCAAGTGCAGGCTGCCTGTGTGACTGTACTTGTCTTTGTCTTCCCTGAGTTCTGGCCTTCTGGGTTCAAAATGTTCCCTGCCATGATCCAGGGACTGGGAAGTAAGGAGAGCTCCTCTCATTCTCCTTTTCATAAGAGAACTGAAGGCCCAAGAGCAGCCATTATCCAGAATTACTTGCCCACATCAGAACCAAGGAGCTGGGAATGACTGTGTTCTCAGGTCTCCAACAACTAGGTGACTGGACTTGAGTGATGAGACTTGTCCTAAAAATGCATCAGGACAGGGCGCCTAGGTGGCTCAGTCAGTTGAGCATATGACTCCTGACCTCAGGGACATGAGTTCAGTCCCCACATTGCATTCCATGCTGGGCTTGGAGCCTACTTAAAAAAATTAATCAGGTTTATTCTCTGTGCCAATCACATTGCAAAGATGGGGAGGCAGCCTGTGGGTATCTTCATCAGTGTTCCAAAGCATAGAGGGCTGGGGATGTGCAGAAAGGATGTGAGACAGCAATGAGGGTGGAGGGGGACACAGAAGGAATCCTAGAAAAAAACAGAAAAAAACGTTTAATAAATGAGAAAAAAGAGGAAAAAAAACTGTCTGCAAATAGATCAGACTTCTTTTGATGGTTTAGTTACCCTCAGATTCAGCCCTTTCTTCCTGGATACCAGCTCTCCACAGACTCTGCTACCAAATAGACCCAACCTTCACATTTATATTTTTGATGCCTCCATTAATAGTACAGAGCCCTCGCCAGTCAGATAATGCAGCAGACCCTGGAGAATTCTTCTGGAGAGAAACAGTTCTTAAATTGAAAGTGTTTTCATTTGAAAGTGCAAAACAGAGTCAGGAGGTGATCAAGACAAAACATCCATTTGCTAACAAAGGAATAGGGATACCTACACCTGTTCAAGAAACAGATATTCTTACCAGGAAAACATGCAATTACTAAAGAGGTTTTTTTTTTAAATACTTTAATGTACTATTAATAAGTCTCTCCTACACTATCATGTAACATTTTAAAGAGGTATCCAATGAAGGATCAAAATGACGCTATGATTAAGAGAAATTAAAATTCATCAAATTAATATCTCAGTTAATATTAATAGTGAAGGTGACAGTTAATTAAAGATGACATATCACAGGAGAGCAAAAACCTCAAACATAGACTGCCTAGGCTGGTACCCCTATTAAAGAATGACTGGGAACTAAAATTAGACTTATGATCTCCAAGGGGAAACATAAAAAAAAAGAAATCAAGAAAATAGAAAAATAAAGGAAAAGCAGAAAAACATCTAGGCTGACTGGGAAAGGGGTAAGGCTAAGGGAAGATGTAAAGAAAAAAAAAAGCATCAATTTTTCCCAGTTAGGATAATCCTGATGGCAAAAGATCTTACAATTATCTTGACTCTTCTGCGAACCCAAAATGACTGAAGCAACCTTGAAGTCAGAAGCTATGCCTTTGTTCTTTTTTCTCCTGTAGTCCAAACATACTTCCTGGCACATAATATGTGCTAAATAAATATTTGACATATGAATATTAAATTAATCTTTTCTGTAATGTATGCATTAGATGGGCAATTCCTGCTTACAGCATCTGCAGCTATATCTATTATTACAATGAATTGTTTTTTTTTTTTTACATCCAACAATAATGAGACTGAAAAGGAATTAGACATATATGATATTCTTGTTCAAGAGTAAGGTAGACTTTAGGTGCTAAAAACCAGTATGGATTATTTTGTGATTCATAGTAAATAATATGGACACACCACCACCACCATCCTATACCTGAGAGTGTTTCTGTCCATCCCTATACATTACAAGGATTCTTAAGTCTTTCAGAAGACTGAAGGTCAGACAGAAATACAGGATGAGGACCTTCACTATAATGAAGGCTTTAATAGCTTCTGAAAATAAAATTGGTCTGCCCGGTCTTCTGGTGTCTATAACAAAGCCATTCAGGGTCACTCTTGAACTGTCCCTTTGGGTTGTTTTCAACACTCTGGATAGACCAACTGGGAAATCTCTGTAGATACCAGTGTAGGAATTAGACATTGTGATTTTTCCACCCTAGATACCCATGGCATCCTCTGCTAGCCACACTTGCCAAAATTGATGATGTCTCCCTTCTACTGCTAAGTGTAGAAGACTAATTGAGCCCACAGAGAGCCAGCATGAAATCTTGCCAGAAGTTTACTGGATTCTCTGTAGGTTACATCTATGACAGTTTTTTTTTAATGTTTATTTATTCTTGAGAGACAGAGAGCATGAGCAGGGGAAGAGCAGAGAGAGAGGGAAGACAGAGGATCAGAAGCAGGCTCTGCACTGTCAGATGTGGGGCTCAACTTCATGAACAAATCATGAGACCATGACCTGAGCTGAAGTTGGACACTTAACCAATTGAGCCACCCAGGTGCCCTGGGAAATTGTGAGTTTTCCCACATGAGATAGGCTCTGATGGAGCTCCTGGTTCCCTCTCATAAAAACCAATAGGCATTCTGTCCAACAGTTTCTTTGGTGCAGTGTTCAGTAATCAAAAGCATGGGCAAATAAGTCTACAATCATAGAAAGAAAATTTGGTAGACATCTCTCCACTGGGAAGTGGGCTTTGGGACCTCTTTTTTGTCTTACCCACTTGCTTTCAAGCCCTAGTCAATGCGACTTAATATCTCTGTACCAATTTGGCCAACAGTCCACTGAAAGTCTCTCTCAATAAAAGACAGAACATGACATAAAGGAGCAATAATTAACAGACAACAGTTAAGATATTAGAAGGTTCTAATTCAAAAGACCAGGTCTCCCTAACCCACCACAGTATATACTTTTCTTTATCTTAAATGCCTGCTGCTTTCTGTGGACCCTCAGAAGGAGACAGGGAACCTTAATGAGAGAAAAGAGTACGTCGAGTCCTTAAAGGGACTGTAACTATGTAAGTCCATGTGTCCCAGAGAAAAGCCAAGCATTATCCTCACTAATTTGTCTTAATGGTGGTACAGTTTGAGCAGATCTAGTAATTACATGATTATACCTAAGAGCTCCCTTGGAAAGAGGAAAGGATGTAGCATTGACCATAGCACAGAGACTGCTGAGAGCATGAGAGCCCCCAAGAGGATAGTACAGAAATGAGAAGAACACCATGCAGTGGCCAAATTAGCTGCCAAATTCATAGCTTCCTGTGCTTTGACTTGAATACATCCATCTTCTTTAAAGGAAATATTGGCTCATACTAGCCAGATACCCTCCTCCAAAGGAAAATTGCCTAATTATGCCAAACACCAGTAGATATGGCTATAAATATTGGAAAATATGACTAACTGTGGCTTAAACAAATAGGAGTTACTTTTCTCAAGCAACCATAATTCTGAAGGAAGGCAATTGTTTGTGTTGATTCACCTGCCCCATGGTGTCAACAAGGACCAATTTCTTCCAATCTTGGCAAACTGGATTAGTGCCTCATGCTACTCACAGGATGGCTGCCATAACCCTCAGCATCATGGCCATATTCAAAAATAGGATGGGTGGGTGTATGCTAACTAACTTGGATGTAAATTTAAAAGTAGATAGATAGATAGATAGATAGATAGATAGATAGATAGATAGATAGGATGGGTGGGGACAGCAGAAAAAGAAATAAAGAATGGGAAGGGAAGAGAAGGGAAGGGAAGAAGAAAGAATGGAAGAAAGGAAGAGAGAAAGAGAGAAAAGCCCTTTCCCCAGAGTTCCTCAGAGCATCTCCTAAGGGACTTCACTTAAGTTTAATTCGCCAAAATTGGAGCATAAGGAAAGGATACAAGGGAGGACAGAAAAGAAAGTGAAAATGTGGGTTTTACTTAAAAAGAAGATGTAGTTGAGGAATTGCTGTGAGATAGGCAAATAAAATGTCACATAACACTGTGCTTCCGGTGAAATTCACTGGTGTGAAATGTCATTCCAGCGCAAGGTTAGTCTATGGAAAGACTCAGAACTAGGAGTCAGAGGACATGGAATTAAGTGAATCAAGTGGAGGTGACAAGTACACTTCGCCTATGTCATAGGCTTCATGACAGGTTCAACTGTTGTCAACTTAGAAAGCACTTTGATAGCTAAGAAGTATAAGCTATAAATAGCTCAGTTAAAACACTTTTTCAAGAGACTAAAAACAGAACTATCTTTCAACCCAGGAATTGCACTACCAGGTATTTACCCAAAGGATACAAAAATACAGATCTGAAGGGGTATATGAACCCCAATGTTTACAGCAGCATTGTCAACAATAGCCAAACTATGGAGAGAGCCCAAATGTCCATCAACTGATGGATGGATAAGGAAGATGTGGTATATATTTACATGGACTATTACTCAGCCAACAAAAAGAATGAAATCTTGCCATTTACAATGATGTGGATGGAGCTAGAGTGTATTATGCTAAGAAAAATACGTCAATCAGAGAAAGACAAATGCCATATGATTTCACTTATGTGTGGAATTTAAGAAACAAAACAAATGAACATATGGAAAGGAAGCAGGGAAGAGAAGAGGAGGAAACAAACCAAGAGACCATTAATGACAGAGAAAAAACTGCGGGTTGCTAGAGAGAAGGTGGGTGGGGGACAGGCTAGATGAATGATGGGTACTAAGGAGGGCACTTGTTGTGATGAGTACTAGGAGTCGTATGTAAGTGATAAATTACTAAGTTCTACTCCTGAAACCAATATTGTACTGTCTGTTAGCTAAAATTTAAACTTAAAATGGGGGGGAGATACTTTTAGTTGTAAGTAAAAGAAAACTTACTTCCAACTGGCTTAAACAATAAGCAGAATGCATTGGCTCTCACACCAGGAATTTTACAGGTCCTGTAGTAGGGTGGGCTACAGGCACAGTTTGAACAGGGCTCCAGCTCCATTTCCCCACAATCCTCTCAGCTCTCTTCTATGTATTGGCCTTATCCACAGGCACAGGGTAAGCGATAGGCCTCACATGTGTACCCCACACCACTCACACCAAGAGAGGAAATCTGGGTCTTGGAATTCCCAATAGAAGTGTCAAGGTGTACTTTGATTGAACTGGCTTCTGGCACAAGGTTTTCTCTGAACTAATCACTGGATAGAAGAGTCGGTTTAGCATAGATGACGTGTTCTTTCCAGAGAACACATCAAAGACCATCTCAGGAATTTCATGGATTCCCAGTGGAATCCAAGGACTATTGGAATGAAGGTAGAGAACAGCCAGCTAGTACGCACTACACCGTCATTGGGACCATTCTCATCACTAAGGCTCACAGGAGCCTAGGCTTGGGCAGGGGGGCTAGCAGAGGCCAGTCAGTGACCTTCTTCAGTTTTCTTTGTCCTCAGGCCTAGCAGAGAAGTTCAGAATAAAAATCATACAGGTGATCTCAAAGTAGGTTATATTTTAGAGGGCCTTGGCCTGGCTGCCTCTTTAATTCAGTTTGCAACATTTTCTCGAAAACTCTTTTCTGTGCCATAACACATAGTTCTATATCTGATTCCCTCTCAAGTTTTTAATTTCCTGCTTTAGAAGCTGCAGTCTGTGTGAAGCTCCCTCTCTGAGCACAAACATCCCATTTTGTTCCACTCGGTTAAGCACCTTTTGTGATGTTTAATGCACTTATGTCAGTCCAGAAAGACAACATAAGCAGCCGGAGGAACATTTAGAATACTAAACTCAGGATACTTGGGTCCCAGAGTGGACAGGAGAAAAGATGTGAGACTTAAGTAATGTAGACCTAGCAAAAAAGAGCAGGGTGGGGGTTCAGGCAAGGAAACTTACCATGGAGAGTGATCAAGGTCAGACAGTGATGACAGGAAAGAGCAACGTGATTTTCGGAGAGTGGAGCCTCTGGCCCTTGTAATGACGTTGATTATTAGAAATAAAGGAGAGTCTGTATTTTATTTATTTTATTTATATATTCTCTTTTTTATCTCTGCTTGCATTTATTTATTTATTTATTTATTTATTTATTTATTTATTGTAAGAGAGCAAGAGAGAGAGAGAATGCATGTGAGGTGGGGGCAGAAAGAGAGGGGGAAAGAGAATCCCAAGCAGGCTCCACACTGTCATCACAGAGGCCCACGCGGGGCTCCAACTCAGAACTGTGAGATTATGACCTGAGCTGAAGTCGGACACTTAACCAACTGAGCCACCAGGGTGCCCCAAGGAAAGTCAGCATTTAAATGGATTCTCCATGACTCTTACACAAACTTTGAGCAGTTCTGAGCTAAATCTTTATTATAGGGAGGTGCTTATTCAAAATACAGACTGCTGGGTCTACCCCAGATCTACCAAACCAGAATGTCCAGGGGTGACCCCGGACGTCTATAGTAACTGTACCAGCACCCCCTGCCCCAGCCCTACTCCTAGCCTGAGTAATTTGTGCAGGCAGCTGGCCATCTGCTACAATATGACATTTAGGAACCACTAATCTATAAAACTCCCCTTTCACAGATGAGGAAATTGGGATTCAGATCATCGAATTCCCTATCTTGCCCCACAGCAATCCCCCCGCCCCCCAAAAAGATTCCAAATGTGGCAAACAAAAATGGAATGAAGAGGCTAGAGAAGTAATTCCATATTTGCCTCTTGGACATCTCCCCAAACAACCAAAAATCCATCCCTTAGAGTAGGCATTCTTAATCAGGGGAGGCCATCAACTTGGATGTAAATCAAATTACTTCTTTATTTTCACTAATCTGAAATTTAGCATTTTCTTCAATCATGAAGGTAGGCATCAACCCACAGCAGAAAAATCTTTAGTGTCACCAGTAGAAACCACAGATATTTACATTTTCAAATCACATTACAGTTGTTGCAGATACTCTGAAATACCATTTACACTCACCAGTCTTGGAAATTACAGGCATTTTGGACCTGCCACTAGGTCTTGTTATTTAATGCATTATTAAAGAAGCACATATATTAAAATACTTTGGTAAATGTATTTCAGTATAATTGATATTCTTTGTGATCCACTGTATTTTATTGCATGCACCTGAAAATATTCTTCTGGGAAGGGAACCATGAGACCAAAGGGATCCATGGGACACAGAATGCTCAGGAAGCTGTGCCCTAGGGATGACCATTTCTGAAGACAGTGCCTTGCCCCCTACCCCCACTCCCACATCCTGGAGTTTCCCAAACCTCCCAGGCAGTAAGATTCACTGGAGGGACTTATTATTCTGAGTGGGGCCTGAGAATCATTTTGTTTAACAAGAGCCTCAGGTGATTTGGGAAATGCCGCCTTATAATCAGTAAGTTTGGGAAATGCCGCCTTAGGCTATGTCTGTTGGAAATCAATAGCCAATCTCAGTACCTGAAGACAGTGCCTTGCTTACTCCCACCTTCTGTATCGCCAAAGGGAGTTACTTATATTCATTAGCAAGTGAGAGTAACACCACCTGGCTACTGCACAATTCTGGAGAGAGTTATTCATTAGGATTTAAGAGAAAGGTAGAATCATGTCTCTACAGAGCCTTAAATCAATCAGATTTTGGGTATTTTTTTTCCTGCTTCAATTTCGAAACCCGCCTTACCTTTTATGTTCTCCCCATGCTTTATCCTTACGTCACCATGAACACTTTTCACGTTGTAGCCTAGTTATTTCCTGCATGTCTCTCTCATGGGCCCTCAGCTCACCCCCGCACCCATTCATACATGACTCCCCCAAACATATACACAGTAGAGTCTGAGGCCCTGGGGGCAGACACTCGCTTCAGTATGCTCACCTGAGTGAAGTATCAGACATTCAGTAGCTATTGGCTGTGTGGTGGATGGATGCACCAGGGCAGCTCTTCTCTCTCCCAGGATGGTGGAAAGGGATGGACCTGTACACTTCCCAGAAGCTGCGTGCCAAGGTGCCAACCTGTGAGAAGCAAGATAGAGGCATCGTTAATACTCAGGGTTTGAAATGCCAGCTGCTCTTATTAGCTGTGTGTCCTTAGGTAAATCACTCGGCCATTCTCAGTCTCCACTTCTTTACCTATAACCTAGAAATCATAGTTACCTCATTGGGTTGCTATGAAATTTACATGTGAGAGTTACTTAAGCATGGGCTTAGTCCTCCCCAGCTCTATTTATTGCTTTCTAGTATCTATTTGGTGGGGAGGACTCCAGGAAAGAAAAAAAAGTGGGGAAAGAAAAGTATTTCCATTACACATCCCACCAGTTAGAGATTCTTTTTCAGGAGTAAGCTCCAGGGAAGGCGAAGTGATGGTAACTTAGCGGGAGTTACTTCAATCAGCTGATCAGATTTTTTTCCTTTTGACACTTAGCTGAGATCGAGGAGAATGGGCATTTTGATGGCAGAACTGGGGACAGGAAAAGAGGATGGCCAGAACAGGGTGGCACAGGAGAACCCAGGGGAGACCCTGGAGGCTTTGGCCTCCAGGAGCTAAAGAAGCAGGGTACCAGAAATCCTGCCAGGTATGTGCTTTCACTAGACCCCAAGGTCAGCAGCCACCCCGTCTTTTGCACTGTTTTTAAATATTTTTTTTTATTTTTATTTATTTCTAGGAGAGAGAGAGAGACAGCGTGAGCAGGGGAGGGTCAGAGAGAGAGGGAGACACAGACTCCGAAATAGGCTCCAGCCTCCGAGCTGGCAGTCAGCACAGAGCCCGACGCAGGGCTCGAACCCACAAACCGCGAGATCATGACCTAAGTGAAAGTCAGACGCTTAACCGACTAAGCCACCCAGGTGCCCCTGCACTATTTTTAGAACCTTGTGATAGAGGCAATCAGAGAGGGTGACTCATTTCCTAGAAGTGAGGGGATCTAGTCTGTCAGTCTGTCACAGAAGAATCCTCCAACATCTGTCCCTCCTGACTTGACGCTCCCGTGTAACAGGGCATCTCAATGCCCTGTCTGCCTCTGCTAGCTCTGCTACCCCGGGGGAGGTGCTGACCCTTGCCCAGCTTCTGTTCCTTTCTCCACGGTGAGAACAGTAGCCGTCTCTCATAGGATTACAAGCGGCAACAGAGGCCATGTATGTAAAGTGCTTTGCAGAAACAAGAGTTAGTAAGCATTCAAGAAATGTTAGCTATTCATATTAACACAGGTTATGTCAGAGACCACTGACTCTTGCAGAATATACTTGCCTGCTGGGCACTGCTCTAGGAGCCGGGGATCCAGCACAAACAAGTAAAAGTCCCTGCTCCTACAGAATTAAGGAATAGTCATTCAATTTCCTATCGACTAGGTATATTATTTGTCCCCCAAAAGCATTAAGGGCACCTACAGTAAAGAACAAATTCAGTTTTCAGAATCTAAAGCTTCAAAGCTATAGAAATTCCCAGAATGAGTCATGTTGGTCAGTGACCCATGCAGAGTAAGTTCTCAATAAGGGAATTGTATTAACGATGTAAGGATCTCATGATGATCTCTAGTTATTTAAGAATGCCTTGCTCCTCCTCAGTTATCATACAAGTTCTTCAAGGGCAGTGCCTGGAGTATATTTTTAAAACCTCTTAAAACACAAAGCAAATCCTCCTTCTATGAACTGAGGAGCCTCACAACTACTTGCTTCATGAATGAATGAATGAACGAATGAAGGAATAAACACCCAGCAAGCACTGGGATTTGCTATTATTGTAACTATCCTCTCTCACCTACATTTTCACCCCCAACTCACAGACACGGGCATTCACAATTTTGCAAAACAAAAAGTAGGCTTTACCCAATTTAAGCCATAAATTGCATACTAGGCTTATGTTAAAATGAGATTTACTATACAAAATTCAACTTCTGCAAGAAGCTTTTACAGCATACAACCATCCGATGTACTGAGAAAACCATCCTTTATTCTCCTGCCTCCCTTAAATCATTGTGTTATTATGACTACACAGCTCCCTTTTTATGAGTTTCTCATTCTCAGAATTCCTATAAATTCATATTAGGCCTTACTTATATAGAGCCAAATGGCTGAACTAAAGAAAGTAAATCTACAACCTAATGAACAAAAAATAACAACTTCATCACTAGTTTGAACTTTTCATTGTTGCTTTTAAACAAAATATCTTTGGTGAGGGCTTCTCAAAATAGAGTCTGGAAATGACCAAATATAGGGCTAAAATCAGGTGCTGAAAAGAAATAAATCTAAGGGGAAAGAACTGATTAGGGGAGAGAGACCTCCAGAACTTTTCTTTAGTGGAATAAATCAGAAATGAACAGTAAAGTGACTTGGCCACATAACAAGAATCTTGGGTGAGAAAACCTAACCAGAGGAACAACACCATCTTCACACACCCTCATCTGGACAATGCTTGTTTTTCCCTTGAAAAGCTACTATAGAGGCTACTGTACCTATTTTCCACTCCCCTTTCTTTTAAAGAGCCATTGGACCTGCCCAGAAGGGATATAAGAAGCACCCAGGTACAGCCAGGGACACAAAGCTTCACAGATTTCCCCTTGAGAAGCATGGTCCCCACAGGCAGAGGCACAAATGCCTCGGGGCCCAAGAATGGAATTTATGGACACTCTGAAAGTGACAATCTCCGTGACACATGTCTCTGGGTTGATTAGGTTATGTAAAAAGTTTTAAAGTAAAATAGAAATGTGCTAGGATATCAATTCAATTACCTAAGCTCCTGCCACTCTGTAAGCGTGACCAGGAGGAAGTTTCGGAGCTTGAAACACCTGCGTGAGGCCAGGACCATCCTCACTGGCACTGTGAGTGGTAAAGAGGATCTGCACCCCTTTCCGGTGACCTGTACCCATTGTTCCCCCACCTCCTCGTGACTGAAACCAGGGCATCCAAGCCAGGCACAGTGGCACAGACTTACTTCACACAGTTTCTTACAGATATTGTTCTAGAAGCTTTAAAACCAGAAGCCAGACAGAGTTTTCATTTTAGAGGTAAGTTTCATGAAAACCATGTTGCCAGCTTATTTCCTGGGTATATGGTGAGCTCTCCACTGTGGGGAGGGCCTCAGAAAGGCACGGCGCACACATCTGGCTATCACCCAAGCTCTTCTCGCTACCAGCTGGGCATATCACTTAACCACAAGGAGCTTTGGTTGCCTCCTGAGTTTGAACTTGATCAGTAATTCTCAAACCTTGGTGTATTTGGAGTGGGGGAGAGGGCCAGAGGGAGTAATTAGAAATGAAAATTCATGGGCTCCAGATTCAGAGATTCTGATTTAGTAGGCCTAGGGAAGGGTTCAGAAATCTGTATCTTTAAGGAGCGCCCCACTGTGGACAACACTTTCAGAAACACTGGACTTATTCCAGCACTGATGTTCTAATATTCTTTGAATCTGTCCTTTCTTGGGTGACCAACCGTCTTTAGCAGCCTGGAACTCCTCAGCATCTGACTCCCTTTGGCAACAATGGTACCAACCACAGGGAGGGCATGTCAGCACACACAGGCTAGCCTAGGAAAGGCAATAGAGTTGACTAGGTTGTCGGGGGAAACACTAACATCCTTGTCTCTGCTGCTCAGGTGACAGGTGGAGTCTGGACCTTCAGCCGAGTTTGCTGTGATGTTTTCGTCACCCTGGATGTCATGATGTGTACAGCCAGCATCCTGAACCTCTGCGCCATCAGCATCGACAGGTAGGGTTGGGATTCCCCTTCCACCAGGTCTAGGCTGCCAGGTGGTGTGGGAAACCAGCCTGGGGAAGCTGCTTCTGCTGAATTTGAGGCCCCAGCTTTGCACTTTAGGACACTGGGGTCACTGTCAAGTAGAACTTACCACTCAGGACATCTTCTCTCTCATTTTCTTTTACACTACAGTTTGCAGTAGAGAAGAAACCCCTGTGGTAGGAGAAAAATAATTATCCTATAAGCTTTCCTAGCCTCTCCTTCCTCCTAGACCCCTAAAGAGGATTCTGGTTTTGACTTCCCATCATCCTTTGGGTTCTTTGTGATTCCTAATTGGTATAAAAGGGGGAGCAGGACAGACAAGTGAGCTGACAAGATTTGGGAGAATTCCTGTTATTATGTTGTTTGTTTTTGGTAAAGTGCAGAAGAGGGAGGGAAAAGAGGAAGAGAGAGGGGAGAGAGAAAAGCTTGGGAGTATTTGCAAGGAGACAGAGAGGAGAAAAGTAGATGGGGAGAAAGGTAATTTTAGGAAGTATGGCTGTGATCTATTCATTTCCTTCATGACTTTTAAGGAAAACAAGGAAACTGACATTTTTTAGAATTGCTTTCTGGTTGGTGGAGTGGATTTATGTGATTGTGACTCACCTCTGTGCAGGTCCCACCTGAGCAGACATACTTTCCCACCCAAAGAGTGCCCTGCCCTGGCCTTGGGAGCTTCCATTCCTCACGTCTCTCCTTTTGTTTCCTCTCCTCTTTCCCCTTTCCCCTGCCTGGGCCTTAGACTTGCCCATGGCTCTCACGGATGTCTCCAGGCCCACAGAGAGCCCTGGGGAAAGGAGACTGCTCTCCAGACCACAGCCTCTGTTGCCACTCAAGCCTCCAACCTTCTCTAAGTCCCCTCCCACGTGCCTCCCCTTCCACCCCTTCTCTCTCCTATACTCTTTCTCCCAGCAATACCATCCACTCACTCCACAGCTTGAACATGGGAGCCCAAACAAATGCTGCCAATCATTGAGAATCTACCATACAGGGCTAAGGCTTTGCAATGCACTAACTCACTTCATCTTCACAACTCAGCTGCTATTATTGTCTTCATTTCCAGCTTCTGAAGGGAATTAAGGAATTTGCCTAAAGTCACACCCCTGACACAGAGCAGTGCCAGCATTTGAATTCATGTCTGACTCCATGTTCATAATCTTAGTCTGTGTGCTAAGCCTCTTCAAATCTCCAGCTATACTCCAATACCTCCTCTGAGTTTCAAACCACATTACCACCTAGATATCTCATTGGTTCCTACAAGGCAATACCATCAAAGCACCAAACCATCTTAACTTGATCATCCCTTATTGGCAACATCATTGCCTTACAATCTCAGTTTTGTTCAATTCCTCTCTCTTCCTCATCTCCCACAGCTAAGCAGTAAAGGCTTAGAGACTCCATTTTTGCCATTTTTCTCCCAAATTTGCCCCTATCTTTCCTTCCTATTCCATCTGCTTATTTTAGGTTCCCACGACCTCTCCCCCAGACCTTTGCCACAGCCTCCTAACTAGTCCTGCACACCACTCTCAGAATTGCTCCCCCCAGAAGTAAAGTCCAAATGTCCATTACCCTACTCAATACCCTTCAGCATCTCCTTGGCCTGTGGAATAAATGTTAAAACTACTTTCACAGCCTAGGATTCAAAGTTGTCTATAATACGGCCTCCATCTTCCTTTTCAATTTCATCACTTTCTGGGTTGCCCTGCCTACATTCCTCTCTTGCTTCAAGGTCTACCACACTTGTGAATCTCTACCAGCTTGATTCAGTTACCTCTGAACTCTCACAGTGCTTTTTCTGGAACTATCTCAAGGCATCTACAGCCTGCCTTTTGCTAGATGTTGTAAAGCAGGTTCTTCTCACTTCCCTGTGATTGATATTTGCATGACCCAGGGTTGTGCCCTCTCTATCAACAGCCTAAACTCCCTTTCATGTGCTGAAATGGGAATCTTGAACACTGACCAAAAGAATGGACATGAATACCCCTCCCTATAGTGATACTGCAGACCAGTCAACTAGAAAGTCTTTCGACTCTATCACTTGTCTATCCATCTGAGAAGAGAAATTAAAGGACATATCCGTATGGCTGGGACTCACACCATTAAAGAATGTGTTTCAAAATCAAGGAAGATAGCTGCATAATTCTATGAATACACCCCCAAACATTGAATGATACACCCTGAATGAATTATGTGGCATGTGAATTATATCTTGATAAAGCTGTTTTAAAATGAAGGGATAGTTAGGATTTCAATAATATTTTTAGGTCTCTGAGAACAGAACTCTTCTAAGTCTTTTGTGTGAATTCTGGCCATTTAGTACCATAATATACAATTTACATAAGTAGCAGGCTGCATCTGGTTTGCTGTATCATCACCTCCACTTCCCAAACTCTTATACGAGTCCTAGTTCCTTATCATCTGTAGGTCTCTCTGCTGTGCCTATTACAGACCTTAAACAAAGAATATTAAACCGGTCTTTGTCTGAAGGTAGCCAAGGTTTATAGCACAAATGTGCACCTTCAGAAAGAACATGAGAGTGTGTGTGAAGAGCAGAGGAGGGAGCTTCTTAGGAGAGGCTCTGGGGCAGCCCCCTCCTTGCCTCTCGGCTCCCAGCCCTACTCTCCATCCTCTCAAGAGTGTGCCTACACACTCCATCCACATACATTCATGTACATGGGGCTGGCAGGTGAGGCTGTGCAGGCTGTGCCCTGCACAAGCCTTTGGGAACTGAATTCAAGCAGTGTTTTTTTGCAAACCTTGAGTCGGCCGGGGGGGGGGGGGGGGGGGGGGGGGGGGGGGGGGGGGGGGGGGGGGGGGCTTTTCCTAGCCTGCACAAGAGCACCATTTCACTCACAGCAGCCATGCTTCACAGACACTTCTACCTTTCACCACTCACACAACCGACAAGGATAAACCTTGAATTGGCTCTGTCCCATAGGGATCAACTCCCAGAATGTGTTGCCCTCACTACCTGAAATCTGAGGAACAAGCCATGCCTTAGACTCCAACGGAGAAGGATGCTTTTTTCTTGGCTGGTACATCTACATGAACCAATCCTCACCAAACCTCAAGATGGAGGCTCCTGTCTATTCCAGGAATGAACACGGGCCTTAGAAAAGCTGTCTCCATCATCCTTCGTGGCAGTGTGCAGTACACAGCATTAAATTCTGTTCATGTGATGCCAAATCACTGGTCAATTCATTAAAAATGCAGTCATTCATGCAGACCTTTGGTCTTCACACAATGCTAGTCACCAGTCTGACAAACTTGACCAAATGGATTCAGCATTTTTTGGCCATGAAGCCCTGCTATGTAATAACAGGGTAGTAAGAGATAGGAAAGAAAAGGAAATGATAAAAGGGGGTTTTGAAAGCAAGTAATACTATTGTCATTAGATTCTCAGGCATAGCCCTGGATGCTTGGATTAATGCTGCCTTTTCTTTTTTAAAAAGCACAAACCCCTACTCCCCCCACCCCTTGGCGCCTTGCCTCCCCAGGGGGCCAGCCCCCTCCCACAGCATACTGGGTCAGAACTGACTCAGGGAGAGGGCTGAGAAAGTGTCAGAGGAGGAGGACACATTCTGAGTGGTGAGAATTAGAGTCCTCCGCTAGGGGCCCAGGAATAATGCAACCAAATTCATTCACCAGGGAGTTCTTTAAGTGGCTCTCAAATGGCACCCATCACACAGGCAAGCCTCCGCGTCTTTGCAGCAAGCACAATAGGTACCAGATGAGTCACAGCCACCTTGGATTTTTAGTTTGCATCTAAATAAGCACTTTATATTTGCAAAGGGCTTTCCAGTCATTTGCAAAAAGCTTTCTCCTTCAACAATTTCATGAGGGGAGTCCACAGAACTAAAGATTTATTGAGCCCCCTGTCTGACCAAATAAAAGGTGGTGAAAAACAGCCCTCACCAAGCTCTGGGGCTCATTAAACCCAGGCAGGGAGTTAGACTCAGGCCCTCCCACCCAGACCAGTCTCTTTCGCCTCCCTCCACCCCCCTCCTGCTGAAAGCTTCCAGAGGAGGCACCTTCATCAGTGCCCACACACACACACCTACCGTCCTGGGACAGGACTTCAGGTGGAGGTCACATTCTGCCAGGATCCTGGGAGCTTCAGTAGAGTGATGAGCTTATAAAGTCCAGTCACAGAAGTGGAAATCAGAAGGGGCATCGTAGTTTAACTCATTTGTGCAGAAATGTTACATGCTCACAGGGGCTCCCACAGCCTCTTTGGTCTGGGACTAGACACAGGGTCTCTTCACTCCCCCACCAGTACTCTACTATAACGAGTGGCCCCTTCACTGGTGGAAGTAGAGATGGGACACCAAGAGCAAGGCCTCTGGCCATGCCTACAGCCTACCCCTATGGGTGCTATTTCCTTGGAGTAAAAGAGGCATATTTCCTATGTCTTCAGTGCCCTGGCTCCTCCATGCTACTCTCAAATAGCTACTATTTATGCAGCATGTACCATGTGCCAAGCTAAGAGTTTTTCCTTGTTGCTAACCGTCACCCCAGCGAGAGAGGTATATTATCCCCATTTTACAAGTGAAGAGTCTGAGGCTAGACTGTGTAGTCTGCCCACACCACACTGCTGGTAGGTGCAAGAGTAAGGATCCAGTCACCCTCTTTCTTCTGTAGCACACTGCCCTGCACAGAGGCGTCTAGCCACACCCTGGGCCACTTAATTCTGGAGCTCCACTGCCTTGCTACAAACCCTGGCCCTACCACCATAGTAGTGTGACCACCGGCAAGTCAGTTAACCCTCTTTGGACCTCTGTTCCCTTATCTGTTTAGTGGAGATCATAGTAACAGAGTTATTACAAGAATCAAACAAGTTAATATTTGCAAAGCACTTCAAACAGTTGACTGGCACATAGAAAGTGTTACATATACTTGTTTGTTTGATAAATAAATAAATTTAATATTCCCTTTAATGTTCCCAGGAACAAGGGGGCAGATACCACTAACTTGTCGATATGAATAATCACAGATCCCTTGGACTAGCACAATACTATGCCAATAATAATAATGGGTTTTTAAATGTTTAAATAGGTACCAGGCATTGTGCTAAAAAGAATTCACAGAGATCATCTTATTTAGTGTTCATAACAGCCCTATCGGGCTGAATCATTATCCCCAATGTACAGATAAGGTAACCGAGTCTCAGAGAAGCCAAATTCTGGCCCATGGCCACACACAGTTAAGTGGAAGAACTGGGATTCAGACGCTAATCACTGTTTACAACCGCCACGGATTTAACCACCTTGCACACTGCCAGTGTTCCGGCCACGCCAAAAAGAGCTCAGTGTGCTAAGAACTCAAACAAGAGGAGGCGAGGGAGCGAGGTGGCACGCAGAGTCGCCCTGGAACAGCTCGGTGTGTGCAGCAGCCGGACTCAGAGACGGCCCAGGCCCGCCTCCGGCTAGCGTCTAAGTCCAGCCTGCCCTCGCTGTCGGCGGCCACCTGCGACCGATTCGGGAGGAGGCCAATGGTCGAGCAGCCTTCCGGGATGGGAATTCTGGGCCATCGCGTGCCTCCAAGAAACCGCAGAGCCGAATTTCCCCGCCCCCCTCCTCCCTCCCCACAGGGCCCGGAAGGCCACCAGGTGAGCGGTGAACTTCTCACCCTGCCGCGCTGGCAGTTCTCGCTGCATTATGGTGCCCTCCGATGGCTAGTGAGGGAACAGCACCTATGTCTTGGTCACCCGCAATAGGCTTCCTGGCGGAAAACCCTGCAGGCGAACTTGGGGGCCTCGTTTACTCCAAAAGTTTAATCGTGTTTAAAAAATAATACAAAAAAAAGTAACATAACAGTGGTAAAGGTAGTTTTGTCTCTCACTTCTTAACCGTTAACAAGAATTTTTGACGGAAATTTTCCTTAATGCAGACTTTCTCAAACTTGTAGAATTCTAAGACACCCTTGCTTGTTCAAAATGCACATTTAGGTCACCTGGGTGACCCAGTCGCTTACGCCTTGGACTCTTGATGGTAGCTCAGGTCTTGATCTAAGGGTCGTGAGTTCAAGCCCCGGATGTGCCCCATGATAGGTGTGAAGGGGTACGTGACTACAAGGCTCAGATATGCCATTCCTCAACCACCGCTGGCAAAGAAGCTTTCCAGATGCCCAGTCTTCTGCTTTATAGCTTTTTTCTTCTTTCTCCCTTTCCCTGCTCAGTGGGTTCATCTCTCTTATCTCAACCTTTCTACATTTTTACTCAAATATCCTTTCTCTCTTTCTCCAACAAAACTGTTGCTCTCCTGCCACATGTATCAACCAAATTAGTTCTTTAAGAGCCTCTATCATCTTGTCTTTGAATGATTTCCCCATCCCTTCTCATCATGTCTGTCTTCTCTCCACTTTCATTCACAGGTACACTGCAGTGGTCATGCCAGTTCACTACCAACATGGTACAGGACAGAGCTCCTGTCGGCGCGTGGCCCTCATGATTACAACCGTGTGGGTACTAGCCTTTGCCGTGTCTTGCCCTCTCCTCTTTGGCTTCAACACCACAGGTAACAATGATGTCCCCTCTTACAATTCCCATGTGATTCATAGCACATCTGAGTGGCAGTGACTGGTGCTTAGCCTGGAAATTTCTGACACTGATCAGCATACATTAAAATCAAATAAGGATACCATAAGCTGCAATGCTTTGGGTTATAATTAAAGCACAAAACAAAATCTCATCACTTATTGGCACATAAAGTTCTGCCCGAGTTAGTGAAAACTCTAGTCTATCCTTATTTTGAAAGAAACACTGTATTCATTTGAAGCAATGTGCCAGTTAAAAAATTAAGCTATTTAGTAATTCAGGTGAAGTTTGCTAATGAAAAAAATGACAATTCAAAATGGACTTACAATGCAAAATAATGCTATAAAAGCCCTCAAAGAGAATCAGTGTTTCTAATTTTTTTACTTGAATAAAAATCATTCCTGGCATTTGAGAACTAGTATAGATCCCTAAATTACTAGAGAGTATATTTCTTACATCTTAATATATAAAAATTCTGGCCATGATGGTTGGCACATGGTACATCTTCTATTGGATGGACAGATGGATGGATGGATGGACATGTGGATTAACAGTGTGAATATCTGAGAGGTTTGGCTTTTAGATATAAGACACTGATCCAGACTTATACCTCATATGGATTAGTCTTCTTTCGCTGTTCCATGTCCATCTTTTAGCCTCAGGAATTTCATGTGTTGAATGAAAAGTACAGGCATTGACAATAAACACTGAATATTTGCTAAGAGAGAACTAATTGAGTCACATCTTACTGTTCATCTGGAATTCTTGTTTTGTCCATTTGGATCCCAAGTTCATTAATTTCTGGTATCTATGTACAAAGCACATAGCTGTGTATTTATATAGATACAGATATTATACGTAACACATTGCATATAAATACAGGCAAATCCTAACTTATAAATAGTTATCAAAGAATCATTTACTGACCGGTGATTTAAAAGTCAAAACAGGACACCTGGGTGGCTCAATTGGTTAAGCGTCTGATTCTTTTTTTTTTTTTTTTTTTTTTTTAGAGAAACAGAGAATGAATGGAGGAGGGGCAGAGAGAGAGGGAGACACAGAATCCGAAGCAGGCTCCAGGCTAGCTGTCAGCACAGAGCCCGACGCGGAGCTCAAACCCACGAACCATGAGATCATGACCTGAGGTGAAGTCGGACACCTAACCGACTAAGCCACCCAGGTGCCCCAGCGTCCGATTCTTGATTTCAGCCTGCATCATGATCTCACAGTTCATAAGATCAAGCCTGATTTCAGGCTCTATACTGACAACAGGGAGTCTGCTTGAGATTCTCCCTCTCTCTCAAAATAAATAAACATTTTTTAAAAATTAAAGTCGAAACACATTTAGGAAAAGAGAGGCTCTGGAATTAGAAAAACCTACATTCAGACTTTAGTTCTACTACTTACCAGCTGTGTCTCCTTGAACAGGCTAGTTAACTTTTTTTAAGTTTTCGTATTGATAAATCTGGGATACACTGAAGCATAAACTTGGGCAAATATATAGACTGAGTCTATATATTTAGTCAAAATGTTTCCAGCATTTATTTATTTAGATGGCCTCCTGAAAATAAACTTAGCAACGTCATTTCTAAAATTGCATGCTGTGTGTGAACTCTTTATAATACATTTATGACATATTAATGCATGTATCATACATCTTTACTTACTGCTCTTCAGGGCTGTAATAAAGCCATGTATATCTTTGTATGTGATTCAGGAGATTTTTCAAAGCAAATTTCATCTCTATATAGTGTTCACATTCATCACTAACCTTAGACTCTGACACTACATATAATTCCACTCTCTTTCCTTCATAGAGCTTTTTTTTTTTAATGATTAAGTCAAGAATAAATTGGAATAACATACATAGACCTGCCAAATACACACCACATGCTCAAGGTCAGGCTTCTTTTTCTGCTTCATTAAAGGTTAAGTAGCTGAGTCATCCAACAAATATTTGCCTAGTTAACTGAAGGTGTTCCTAAAATATGATGTTACTATCATGTTTGCATTACTCTTTACCATTAGTTACTTTGTTGTTTTCACTGAATGACACTTTATACACACAAACATGGTTATGGACATACACGTACCCCCCAAAGCAACATTCTCTAAGGCAACCCTCAGAGGCTGCCTGGCATTAAAATACTATTTCTGAGGGATGCCTGGGTGGCTCAGTTGGTTAACCGAGACTTCCATTCAGATCATAATCTCACAGTTCATGGGTTCAAGCCTGGAGCCTGCTTCGGATTCTGTATCTCCTTCTCTCTCTACCCCTCCCCTGCTCATGCTCTGTGTCTGTCTCTCAAAAATAAATAAATGTTAAAAAAAAAATTAATTAAATACTATTTTTGATGAGTGTTAAATGTGCTTTTTGGGTTAGCCTGATAACTAAGCCACCTTCTATAACCTGCTTTCTATACAAAAATACATTATTCTAAGTTGGAATTTGTAGTATGGAACTCAGGACCACTACTAGCCCAAGACTCTGCTTGCCCCCCGCCAGCAGCAAATCCCCACCACCATTCACTCGGGTGAGTGCTTCCTCTTACTCATTTTTGGAGGTTAGCGGGGGCTGTTTTACTCACTCCCACAGACACACACACCTTAGAAACAGTTAAAAGAGTCTCAGACTCTGATGTTCGACAGAGTTCCCGGTTAATGTCAACATCTAAAGTGCAGAAGAATGATGAGCTAATTGGAGCATTGTTGCCACCAGTGAGATCATTATTATTCCAGAAACAAAACCCAGAAAAATCTTTCCAAAAGGATCTTCAAATATACAATTAAGAAGGCAGAAAATGCCCATGACTTAACACATACACTTTCACTTCTGTCTCATCTCTTTCAATCTCTTTCACTTTTTTTAAAATTACACAATTTATTGTATTGCAACTTTTTCTTAAGTTTCTTTTAGTTCTTTTAGTAATCTCTACACCCAGCATGGGGCTTGAACTCACGAACCTAAGATCAGGAGTCACATACCCTTCTGACAGAGTCAGCCAGGCATCCCCCTCTCTCTCTCTCTCTCTTTTTTTTTAATGTTTTTTATCTACTTCTGAGAGAGAGAGAGAGACAGCATGTGCAGGGGAGGGTCAGAGAGAGGGAGACACAGAATCTGAAGCAGCCTCCAGACTCTGAGTAGCTGTCAGCACAGAGCCCAATGCAGGGCTCAAACCCACAAATCGTGAGATCATGACCTGAGCCGAAGTCGGACACTTAACTGACTGAGCCACCCAGCCACCCCTTTCTCTTAATTTTAAGTTTATTAGTAAGACTACAGTAAGTCCCCCACTTATTCATATATCCCATCCAAGCTTCAGGTCCATTGTAAGGACTCAATGGATATGAGCTAACACTATTGTTGTTATTATTGTGTATTAGAAAAGGTTTCTATACGTCAAAATTTAACTATGCACCTGCTAAGAAAATCTAAGCACTAATAGTTGTGCTGGTGGACACAGAAACCAGTCACCTCATCCTAGAGCACGGTTCAGGGAATTAGCAGAACTCAAGGGAAGGAAGCCCAGCCATCCTTCTCTGCCCCAGCCTGACCTTCACAGTACAGCTTCATTACTGTGATGGATGTGGGTTCCTCTAGCACCTCTTCCATCTATAAGGAAGTTCCCAAGTTCATTCGAGAGCCCAATATAAATGACTTCTCTCAGCCATTTTTTCTACTCATCCTGTGAAAAGTAGAGGAGAAAAGGGCAGGATACTGCCAATGACACCTGATATTGGAAGTGTCTGGATTTTCACTAAGAAGTACAATACAAAAGAACTTTCTGACAGAGCTCTTTTTTTAAATATTTATTTATTTTTGAAAGAAAGAGACAGAACATAAGTGGGAGAGGGGCACAGAATCTGAAGTAGGCTCCAGGCTCTGAGCTATCAGCACAGAGCCTGATGCTGGGCTCAAACCCATGAACTGTGAGATCGTGACCTGAGCTGAAGTCAGATGCTCAACTGAGTCACCCAGGCGCCCCTGGCAGAGCTCTTTTTAATAAAATTGGCTGCTATATAGGATTGTGAATTATCAGACAACATAAGGCAGAAAAAAAGTCGAATGTTGAGGCGCCTGGGTGGCTCAGTTGGTTAAGCGTCCGACTCTGGCTCAGGTCATGATCTTGTGGTCCATGGGTTTGAGCCCTGTATTCGGCTCTGTGCTGACAGGTCAGAGCCTGGAGCCTGTTTCAGACTCTGTATCTCCCTCTCTCTCTACCCCTCCCTAGCTCGTGCTCTGTCTCTCTCTGTCACAAAAATAAACAAACATTAAAAATTTTTTTTTAAAAAGAAAAAAGTTGAACATCAGTTTCTTCCATCTTGGAGTTGTCCTTATTGTCCGAGAAAAGAGCAACATGCATTTTTGGATATACACATACATAAGGCAGGATCTTGGGTCACAGAGAGTCCCAAAGTTGGGAGACCTGGCTCACTAGAGTTGTCCCAGCTCCCCGCCAAGGCTCAGCAGTCTAGCTAAAAGTCCCATCATTGACAGTGGTGGAGCACAGAGTGTTGGTTCTAGAGGAAATTCTAAAGATCTCTGAATGGGCAGTACAATCCCTTCATTTCATACATAAAAATAATAGTCTTAAATTTCCTTTGAAACAAGGAAATGGAGGAGTACTCTCTAGATTTGAGCAATAGAACACCTCACCTGGCTTTCAGAAGATGGGAGCTGGTGGGAGCCCAGTTGAGAAGCCCAAAGCTAAAAGAATAATAGGCTCATCCTAAATTCAGATTCATCAAGCTCTTCTGTCTTTGGAAACAAGTTGAAGACAAATCCTTCAAAGTCCTTTAAGTTCATGAACCTGTCAAGTCAACCTGCTTCCAGCCTTGCCCTTCAAATTGTGAGACTCAAGTTCCCAGGCTAGTCAACAAAAGCCTCTTTGATCACACAGTGGGGCTATTTAGTGTTTTTATCACCCAGCATGGTGCCTGGAACATAGTAGGTGCTCCATAAACTTTTGTTGAATTAGGAAGTTAGTGAGTTCTTATCATCCTTTCCTCCTTAAATGTTGAGATTATTTGGGGTAAATATTGTCAATCACATTATGAGGCTTTCCTCATTATGGTCCAGCCAGTGATTGCTTCTGTACTTCTGCAAAATGCTCATTTGTCTGCCCTGCTCATGTGTTCATCATTCTTGGATTCACCCAATAGCTATTGTACTAGTAGCATGGTACTGTTTCAGTGAAATAATTGAGACAAAGCACCTCATCTCCTGGGTGGGCTCACTGTCCTCACCACCTCATCTGAGACTCAGCAGAGAGAAGCTTCTAGAATCGCTGCCCCGCTGACAAGACATACCCTTGGGCCAGATCCAATGGGAACTGGGGCAGGGCCCCACTCACTGCTCACTAGCCTCCAGTGTCACTCTGCCCACTGACAGGCCTCACAGGAAGTCAAGCATGGAGAAATTGTGGGAGAGGCCACAAAACTTAATCCAGGGACAGACAGCAATTTACCCAGATATGAAAGAAAGGACAGGATGATAGTGCAGGCTCAGTGATGGGATACTGAGTGTCCTCAAGGGTCAGTGATTCTGAAATAGCTCTGTGTTTTCTCTTTGCTCCTTCTCATCCGTATGCTTTCAATAAAACATAAGGTGTAAAGGGATATGTACACGTACATATATGTAGGTCTCCCTTCTATCCTAGATGGTTAGCTGCCCTGTAACCCTCCCTAGAAGCAAACACTAGTAATCTTAAGATTGAAATAAGTATGCAGACACAAACATGTGTGTGCACGTGTGTGGGTATATCCATTTTTCCACAAATAGAAGCATACTTACACCCACTTTTGCTCCTGGCTTTTAGGAGCCTCCACATATGCAGCAGGATGTGAACCAAGACACAATGAGGGAACGGGTGGGCTGGGAATCCCCGCTTCCCAAAGCTCTGTGTGGATTAGATGGTGGAGATACCACACATAACATGGGGCCATATTGTGTACTCCCCACTGATATCTCCTACTTGGCCATCAGCTTTACTTTCTCCTTTTCTCTCACTCACAGGAGACCCCACTGTCTGCTCCATCTCCAACCCTGATTTTGTCATCTACTCTTCGGTGGTGTCCTTCTACCTGCCCTTTGTAGTGACTGTCCTTGTCTATGCCAGGATCTACGTGGTGCTGAGACAGAGGAGACGGAAACGGATCCTCACTCGACAGAACAGTCAGTGCATCAGTGTCAGGCCTGGCTTCCCACAACAAGTAAGCACCATGGAGGGGCAGAGGATAACAATCCCCAGCCTGGTGGCCTCCAGCCTTGTGTCCAGCCAGACATGCTTTTGCCCATACTGCCACACAGGAGACACACATCTGACACCCACCTTCTCATCTACTGGTATTGGCTATGCTTAGAGTAGGAAATTAGATTAAAAAATGCACTGCTAGTCTTCCTTGAAGCTCAGATTGCTTGGCAATATGATAAGATGGTTTCTGGACTTCTCCTTTTCATCAAAGTTTTTCACTGCCCTCAAATGGACAGCAGTTCCGATGTCACACAGGATTCATAGTCTTAGTGTGGTAGTTGTCCCACACATTGCTGGTAGGTCCCCAGGACTGACTTTTTAGCAGACCACTTATTCTAAGAATCACTGGGGTCCACAGAAACCGCTTTTCCTTACTAGATGTGCCCCTGTGTCAAGATGCTGCCCAGCTTGTGAAATAGAAAACTGATGATGTGTTTTATTGGGCCTTTCAAGGCTCTGAAAAGAAGAGCTGCCTCAGCACTGATATTCCACTTGCTTGGGCTGTAAGTCTACTTATCCTAGCATCTGGCACACGCTTCAAGATATACTTGAAGCATTAGTGGATGGATGCCAGTCACTTGCAATACGCTAAGAAAAGGGTAGCAGGAATATTATACAGCCTCTGCCTTCATGGAGTTTAGAATCCAGACAAGCAAATAAAACACACCTTCAAAGTTAACTAACAGTCCCAAACCCGATGGGATGTTTGCAAAATGAGATGAAGACTATTAAGCACCTAAATATAAGTGCTATGGAGGTAACTGGAAAAGAGAGGTTAATATGCTCAAGAAAGGACTTTATAGACAGTGTTAGAACTGAATTTGATCCTGAAGGCTGATCCAGTTTGGATGTTTAGATTAACCTATAATGACCTGAGTGAGAGTTAGTCTCTCAAAGTTGAAATCCCAAGACGTGGGTAGAGCAAGAATATTGGTGTCCATGAAATAAGAGGTAAGGACCTGAGAATGAGGATATGAACATATTATATTCAAAACACTGGCATCTATATAGCTCAACCATGCAGAACTTAACCTATGCTTTTTCTCCTTCTACCTACCCTAGTCTTCCTGTCTGAGGCTGCACCCCATTCGGCAGTTTTCAATAAGGGACAGATTTCCATCAGATGCCACTGGGCAAATGGTAAGTAAGCCATGACTTTGATTACAAGAAAAAAATAATATACCTTTTCTCAAGATGCTGACTTGACTTGCTTCCACTTCCACCCCAAAATGGAATGGCCTCAATCCCTTACTTGTTAATGAATATGAGATTCTGATTTGAGCTTCAGAATAGGAATCACCAAATGATATTCAAAAAAGCATATCACTATTGAACTAGATACCAATGACTGGAGCCAATGATTCTTGGCATGGTGTGAGGATGCCATCCAGAGTCACCTGCCTAGAGGGAACAGGGTATCAGTGAAACACACATGGGCAGAGCCAAGAAAAGCAGAGAAGAGATGCTAATGAGAGACTTTCAAGTGTCCTATTTCCCATTGTATGTGGAGGGAAACCAAGACAATCTTGTGGTCTCCCTTATCCTTGTCCTTTTACTTAATCCAGCCCCGTCTTCCCAAGCTAGCTGAGTGCAGATGGAGCTGTTAAATAGAAGATCAAATTCAAAAACTCATAATGATGAAGGTCTGAGCTTTGTCTATTCTCAGTGTAGTTAATTAACCACTTTTTACATAGGCCTGGTATAGCAGATAGATTCTTGCTGTAAATAATTTTTTAAAAATAGGTAAGAACTTTAAGTTGCCTATAGCAGATCTAAGGCCTGAGGAGGCTCTAAGGCCAAAAGGAAGAAAAGCAGTAACTACTAAAGAGAGAATGGAGAACCAAGGGGCTGGAATTGCCAGGAGTATGGAACAACAGGTCCTGTCCTACCATCTGGGAGTGGAGGGCTCTGTCAGCCAGACCCAGAGGAATCCAGTGTTTCCCCATGCCAGCCATAGAGGTAGTGATGAGCATTTGCAGAGAGCTGAAAAATACACTCACCAGTATATAATCTTGAAAGGATCACTTTGCTTCTTCGGGACTGAATTTCCACATATGAGAAATGGAGACAAATCGTACTAGATCAATGTTCTCAAACCTGAGATTTCATAAGGATCCTCAAGAATTTGTTTCAGAAGTAATGCATTTGAAGTTAAGCATTCTCACTTGCAGAAGATTACCAGATGCCAGCACAATCATAATTTTGGTTATAAATGGCCATTCAGATGAAAAGACAGTATGCTGGGGCACCTGGGTGGCTCAGTCGGTTGAGCATCAGACTCTTGATTTCAGCTCAGGTCATGATCCCAGGGTTGTGGGATTGAGCCCTGAGTTGAGCCCCATGCTGAGCATGGAGTCCGCTTAAGATTCTCTCTCCCTCTACCCTTCTCCCCCACTTGTGCCTCTCTCTCTCTCTGTAAAATAAAGAAAAAAATAAAAAACATAATATGTTTATATGAATTATTTTAAAACCCCATCAAAAACTTTTAAATTATATTATACTAAAATCCCTATGAATACCTTTGTTGAGCGCAGTTTTAAAAATACTCTCTCATCTTAAAGGTCCATCACGTTCATTCACTCATCAATGTTTCTGTGTGTACAGTGCAATCGCACTGTGATTCCTTGAACTAAGGAGAAAATAGTGAGCAATCTTGGTTGCTGACACTGACTAATATACAGAAAGAGGAATTTACTAAAAGGATACCAAGTAACTCAGACAATGAAGAATAACTTCAGATGATGCTGTTCATGCCTCAGGAAGAATCTGGTTGGAAGAGATAGGATACTGGATACTGATTGCCACCACTGCTAGACATATTCTGAAGTCTCCCTGCTTCACAAGCTCCAATTCAAGGTCATAGGTACAGTTCTCTAAATGGCTGGGCTTGGTTTATGTGCCAGAATTCTAGATAACCAGTGGGGATGTGGGGAGAGTAAATCATATGGCTTTTATGGCTTCAGTAATGGGAGCTGAGGCATCCTGCCTACTACTCAAGATTGACACAGAGTCTGATTCTTCAAGCATGAAAGAAGTTCAGATGTTGAACACATACATCCTCACCAAATACCAGAAACATCCACATAGCTGCAGTTTCCTACTCTCAGAGTCTAATCATCCTAAACCTACTTTTCCCAATTTCTTTTCTGTTTTACAAATGAGGTTCAGAGGCATTTAATTAACTTGCCAAGGATATATCTGATAAGTAGGAAAGCTGAGATGAAAACCCTAGGTTCGTTCTTTCTTCCTTTCTTTTTACTTTTTATTGTGGAAAACTTCAAAAATAAAAAAGTAGAAAGACAAATATAACAAATCCTTTAGTAGCCATCAGCCAGCTGCAAAAATTATCAACTCATGACCAGTCTTATTTCATCTACATTCTCACCTACACTCATCCATGCCTACTGGATTCTTATGAAGCAAATCCCAAATATCATAACATTTCAGCCAAAAATATTTCTGTAAGACTCTCTAAGGGATACAGACTATTTTATAAACATATCATCACAATAGATCACATTTAGCAAATCAGTAACTCCCTAATATCATTAAATATCCAATCAGTGTTCACATTATCCCAATTGTTTGGTATTTTTTTTATAGTTGGTTTATTTGAATCAAAATTCAAATAAGACCCATACTTTGCAACTGGTAAATGTTACTGTTGTTGCTGTTGTTGCAATTTATTTGTTGGGGAAAAAAAAAACCCGAGTCATTTGTCTTACAGTTTCCCACATTGCAGATGTTATGATTTACATTTTAGTAGTGTCATTTAATATGTTCCTCTGTATATCCAGGTCATTCTAACTCAAAACGGCCAGGCTATAATCCTATACTACCCTCCTCAAGGGGTTATTGTGATTCTCAAATATCCTATATCTGATAGGTGCTTTTTAGTTGTAACGTCAGAAGCAGATTTTTTTTTAACTTTTTTTAATGTTTTATTTATTTCTAGGAGAGAGAGAGAGACAGACAGACAGACAGACAGACAGACAACGTGAGCAGAGGAGGGTCAGAGAGAGAGGGAGTCACAGACTGAAACAGGCTCCAGGCTCTGAGCTGGCTGTCAGCACAGAGCCTGACGCGGGGCTCGAACCCACAACTGCGAGATCATGACCTAAGCGAAAGTCAGACCCTTAACCGACTAAGCCAGCCAAGCGCCCCAGAAGCAGATTTCACATACCTTAACTTTTCATGATCCCACTACTTTCAGATGTAGGTTTCACAAAATGATGGTTTCCTCTAACTTCTTTGCATTCTCTTTCCTTTTCAGGAACATTCAGAAGGTAAACAGTATTCTCAGAAATCTCAGGACCCTCTCTTGTCCCACCTGCAGCCACTATCCCCTGGCCGGGCACACTTGGAGCTGAAGCGCTACTACAGCATCTGCCAAGATACTGCCTTGGGGAGACCAGGTTTCCAAGAAGCAGGAGGAGAATTGAAAAGGGAGGGGAAGACTCGGAACTCCCTCAGCCCCACCATGGCACCCAAGCTCAGCTTAGAGGTTCGAAAACTCAGTAACGGCAGGTTGTCGACATCTCTGAAGTTGGGGTCCTTGCAACCCCGCGGAGTGCCACTTCGGGAGAAGAAGGCAACCCAGATGCTGGCCATCGTTCTTGGTGAGTTTGAGTCACGCTGCGTTGGGCTGAGTTGTGTTGAATTTGGTCAGGTTAGGTTGAGTTGGTAGAGCTGGTAGGAGGTACTAAGAAGCCACATTTATCAGAAACTGGAAATTCAATAACTGTAACGTTTATAAATGTTCATGACACAGCTGAAAAGGGTTTGCATATAAATGTTAACTCCGGTGAAAATTCAAAAACCTAGGCTGAAATTTATGAAACATGAAACTTAACAAGTGACCTAGGTGAGCTGCATTTATCCATTTGGTTTGTTGTCTATCACATGGAGTTTTAATGGACTAATCAAATAATAAAGAAGATATCAATTCAATAAAAAATTTCTGGCACATATTGGATATTTTATAATAAATGCTTACTTATTCTAAAATATTAAGTGAAGAAATAGGGATGCAAAAAACTTCTGTCATATGGTGTGATAACATCTAGATTATTTTAAATACAGAGAAAAAACATGAAAATTAATTCACCAAGATGTCAGAAGTGATTGTCTTTGAGTGGTGGGTGGTTATTTTCCTTCTTTCACATTTCTGTATTTACCAAGTTTCCTATAATGAGCAAAATCAGGGTTAGTTGTTATAGTAGAAAAACAGGGAATTTATTTAAATAAGAAAAAAATCAGTAAGTCACAGTACCATATAGAGTTAGTGAAGGGAATTTATCCTGTTCATTGTCACTGACAAACCTCACTTTCTCATAGCTTAGGGACTTTAGGAGTACATCTAGAGGTAATCTCAACAGCAGCAACTGTCAGTCATGTCTTTAAGGTCTTCTTCCCTATTAGTGCCTAGGATCAGGTTTCACACAGCTAGACATTAAATAAATATTTGAATTGAATTGAGAAGTAGAAAAGACTGGTGAAGAGCTACCTAAATAGCAAGCTAGAAAACTGACTTAGGAACAAAGGCCTGAGATGAATCAAAGAGGTAAGCATGTAGTTTTCCCCCCCCCCCCCCCCCAAAAAAAGTGGCTAATCACACCTACTTCATAGGGTTGGTATACAGTTAAACGGGTATGTAAAATTCCAGCATAGTGGCTGGCACATAACAAACAACCATGAGTCATTTTCAGTGTTATAACAAATGGAGTAAGCAAACCCCTTACCCCGTTTCTCTCTTTCTTTGTAACCTAGGGACCTTCATTGTCTGCTGGCTGCCCTTCTTTTTGACCCACATTCTCAATACCCACTGCCAAGCCTGCCATGTGTCCCCAGAGCTTTACAGTGCCACCACGTGGCTGGGCTACGTGAACAGTGCCCTCAACCCTGTGATCTATACCACCTTCAATGTCGAATTCCGTAAAGCTTTCCTCAAGATCCTGTCTTGCTAAAGGAGAGGACAGCATACTCCCAGTACCCACCTTTAGTTGCCAGGCCATTGGGCAACTGGCCAGCGCCTGCTGAGGAAGACTGTGCTATGTTCTCTGGCATGAGGTAGGAAGAAGATTCCTGGAGCCAGGACATCCCTGAGTAGCAGGTGTAACCAACTGCTTCTTCCAAAACAGAATGTTCTACCTCCCCAGCTAAAAATCTGACTTCATCCTGGTAATATTCAAATGGTCGGGAGGCCCCAAATGATAAGCAATAATTCAGAAAGAAGCTGATAAAACGTGACGCTACTCTATATACACATACCAAATTGTCATCTGAGGCATGATTCATCACAGTGAAGGAAAAACGAACAGATCTCGTAATTGTTAACTCGCCAGGGGTCCTTGAAATCTCAGCCAGTAAACCATCTTGCAAAACAGCCAGTCCCTCTTCCTTCAAGCCTATAATTAAACTATCAGGCTGACCCTGTACTTTTGTAAGCCCACACCCTTTTGGTCATTCCTTTGGTTCATTGTATCCTGAACTATAAGGGCAAGGCCAGTGCTTCTACCTCTCTGTAGAATCTGGCTGCATTTGGTGAGGAAAATTCCTCACCCTAAGAGAGAAACATTGTCCCACATTGGGACCTGGGCTTCCTTTCAAACCTTGTTACCCCTGTATTATAGCTCTAGCTAAGAAGGCCCTTTGACTCCATTCCCGTATTCCCAGAGACTCAATCTCAGAGCAGTTCGGGATGAGGCTGTCAAGTGAAAAAGGAATGACGGTTCCTACCGTAGCATCACTTTAAACCATGCGGTTCATAACATGCCTTAGATATGCTTTTCATAATGCTATAAAGTTTTTCTACCCAGGCATCTTCATTTCCTGCTTAACAGAGACCCAATACATTCGGACCCTAAACCCAGTAGGTCTTACCTAACTACAAAGTGCTGGTCACCTCCCAGGCTCTGGATACATGACAACGAATAAGACAGCTCCTGCCCTCAAGGATCCCACCACCTGCTCCTATGTTTGTTCATTTACTTGTGAGCATGGAAGAGACTCCCCTAGACTGCCAGACGACCTCAGAACTGAGGGCACCAGACTATAGCTGTCTAAAGACAGCGCATGGACAGTCTTTGTAAAGGCCTAGTGCAGAATCTGAACATGACCACTCCAACAGCTGAAATTAAAGTCATTATAAAAATAACATCATGCCAACATCATTTAAAATTGCATTTAGAAGGGACGTGAATATTCTCATCACTACCAGTTCACCTACAGAAGTTATTTCTTATTGACTACAGAATCAAAATACAATTTACAGATAATTTATGAAGTGTTATCAACCTGAACTTCAATAAATGTACTGTTAAAAACTGATTGGACACAGGCGTGACAGATGTCCACTGCAACGCTGATAAAATTTTACTTTTTTTTTAATTAAAAGTTTATTTATTTATTTTGAAAGAGAGAGAGGGAGAGCACATGTGCACACATGAACGGGGGAGGGGCAGAGA